CTGCGCCGCGTCTCCCTGGTGCGTCCCAGTATGGACCAGTATGAACCAGTATACACCAGTATAGACCTGTACAGACCGGTACAGACCAGTACAGACCAGTATAGACCAGTACAGACCGGTACAGACCAGTACAGACCAGTACAGACTAGTAAAGACCAGTACAGAGCCGTACAAAATAGTACAGATCAGTACAGACCAGTATAAACCAGTACAGACCAGTATAAACCAGTACAGACAGTATAGACCAGTACAGACCAGTATAGACCAGTACAGACCAGTACAGACCAGTATAGACCAGTACAAAATAGTACAGATCAGTACAGACCAGTATAAACCAATACAGACCAGTACGGACCGGTACAGACCAATATGGGTCAGCATAGACCAGTATAAACCAGTATAGACTGGTATGAACCTGTACAGACCAGTATAAACCAGTACAGACCAGTATAGACCGGTACAGACCGGTACAAAATAGTACAGATCAGTACAGACCAGTACAGACCAGTATAGACCAGTACAGACCAATATAGACCAGTACAGACCAGTATAACCAGTATGGACCAATATAGACCAATATAGACCAGTACAGACCAGTATAACCAGTACAGACCAGTACAGACCAGTATAACCAGTACAGGTGGGGGATGGGGTCTCCCCACTCTCCCAGTTCTCCCAGTAACGGGGTCCCCTCTCCCCTCTCGCCACCAGTCTGAAATCGGCTTCGGGAAGTTGGAGACCTACGTGAAACTGGACAAACTGGGAGAGGTGAGGTCACCTGAGTGTCACCTGAGTGTCACCCCTGTGTCACCTGAGTGTCACCTGAGTGTCACCCCTGTGTCACCTGTGTGTCACCTGTGTGTCATCTGTGTGCCACTTGTGTCACCTGTGTGTCATCTGTGTGTCACCTGTGTGTCACCTGTCATCTGTGTGTCACCTGTGTGTCACCTGTGTGTCACCTGTGTGTCATCTGTGTCACCTGTGTGTCACCTGTGTGTCACCCATCTGTCACCTGTGTCACCTGTGTGTCACCTGTGTCACCTGTGTGTCACCTGAGTGTCACCTGTGTCACCCGTCTGTCACCTGTGTGTCACCTGTGTTACCTGTGTCACTCTAAGTGTCACCCTGTGTGTCACCTGTGTGTCACCTGTGTGTCACCTGTGTGTCATCTGTGTGTCACCTGTGTGTCACCCGTCTGTCACCTGTGTCACCCTGTGTGTCACCTGTGTGTCACCTGTGTGTCACCTGTGTCACCCTGTGTGTCACCTGTGTCACCTGTGGCACCTGAGTGTCACCTGTGTCACCTGTGTGGCACCCGTGTGTCACTTGTGTCACCTGTGTGACATCTGTGTGTCACCTGTGTCACCTGTGGCACCTGTGTGTCACCTGTCTGTCACCTGTGGCACCTGTGTGTCACCTGTCTGTCACCTGTGTGTCACCCAAAGTGTCACCTGAGTGTCACCTGTGTCACCTGTCTGTCACCTGTGTGGCACCTGTGTGTCATCTGTGTCACCTGTGTGTCACTTGTGTCACCTGTGTGTCACCTGTGTCACCTGTGTGTCACCTGTGTGTCACCTGTGTCACCTGTGTGTCACCTGTGTCACCTGTGTCACCTGTGGCACCTGAGTGTCACCTGTGTCACCTGTGTGTCAACTGTGTGTCATCTGTGTGTCACCTGTGTGTCACCCGTCTGTCACCTGTGTCACCTGTGTCACCTGTGTGTCACCTGAGTGTCACGTGTGTGTCATCTGTGTCACCTGAGTGTCACCTGAGTGGCACCTGTGTCACCGGTGTGTCACCTGTGTGTCACCCGTGTGTCACTTGTGTCACCTGTGTCACCTGTGTCACTCTAAGTGTCACCTGTGTGGCACCTGTGCCTTGTGTCAGCCGTGTCTCCTCCATGCCTGTGATGTCCCTGTGTCCCCTCTGGTGTCCCCAATGTCCCCATTGTCCCCTCAGGGCACCTCCCAAAAGGTGTACAGGTGTCCCTGATGGTGTCCCCGATGTGTCCCCAATGTCCCCAGTGTGTCCCCATGTCCCCAGGGTACCTGCACCACGGTGTACAGCTGTCCCTGATGATGTCCCCAATGTGTCTCTGATGTCCCCAATGTGTCCCCAATGTCCCCAATGTGTCCCCATGTCCCCAGGGCACCTACGCCATGTTGTACAGCTGTCCCTGATAATGTCCCCAACGTGTCCCCCTGTCCTCAATGTCCCCAATGTTCCCCTGTCCCCAGGGTACCTACGCCACAGTGTACAGCTGTCCCTGATGATGTCCCCAATGTGTCTGTGATGTCCCCAGCATGTCCCCGATGTCCCCAATGTATCCCCCTGTCCTCAATGTCCCCAATGTGTCCCCATGTCCCCAGGGTACCTGCGCCACGGTGTACAGCTGTCCCTGATGATGTCCCCAATGTGTCCCCCATGACCCTGATGATGTCCCCAACGTGTCCCCATGTCTCTGATGTCCCCAGCGTGTCCCTGATGTCCCCAATGTCCCCATGTCCCCAGGGCACCTATGCCACGGTGTACAGGTGTCCCTGATGATGTCCCCAATGTGTCTGTGATGTCCCCACTGTGTCCCCCAGTGTCCCCACTGTGTCCCCAATGTCCCCAGCGTGTCCCCAATGTCCCCAATGTGTCTCTGATGTCCCCCAATGTGTCTGTGATGTCCCCAATGTGTCCCCCTGTCCTCAATGTCCCCAATGTGTCCCCCTGTCCCCAGGGTACCTGCCCCAAGGTGTACAGGTGTCCCCAATGTATCTCTGATGTCCCCAGCGTGTCCCCATGTCCCTGATGATGTCCCCAGCGTGTCCCTGATGTCCCCAATGTCCCCGTTGTCCCCTCAGGGCACCTACGCCACGGTGTACAG